TATAGTAATTTATATATAGAACTGTGTCACGTTTCACTATGATCATTCTTCAGTTGACTGGAGAATCGTCAATTAAAGTTATATAATCTATAAAGAAAAACTTATACAAAAATAAGACAATCGGTATATATTTAATTATAATATAGAATTATTATTAAATTATATTACTATTACTATATATAAAGTCTTAGTATTACTTTTGAAAATTAAAAAAAAAAATAGTCTTAGTATTCTTAAAATAATTGATGAGATCAAAGATTAGAGATTTTTAGAATTTTTAGATACTTAAAATTTTATCGTAAATAAGCATCTTCTACTATAATCAAAAAGGCTGCTTATTTATAACAATAGTATAGTAATAAAATTCTATCAACTACAAGTAATTTCTATAAAGTTCAGGCTTATACAAACAATACCTTTAATAACTTAGCAAACTCTTTAGCTAAACAACATATAATTAGCTCATATTTTTAACTTTAACTATACTAATATTTATAATTTATATTATATTTTATAGTAAGAAAAAGAGAAGTTTTTTATAAAACAAATTATATAACTTTTTATTAAAACTATTTGCAAAGCCTATATTTTGACAATATAGTCATCTTAATAATATAATTAAGAATAGTTCTAAGTTAGCCACAGAATTGACTGAAGATCAATATAGCTATACTTTTTTATTTTTTTTTTTTTTTCCTCGCAATGTTATGAACAGGTGAATTTTTATTAGGTATTTATATAGTACATTTACTATGATCTACAATTACGCCAGCCCATAACCTCATGCTGCTACATTTAAAGACCACCCAGATCGACATGTGCTACACTACTTGTGCCCTAATTCTATAGATAACTCAGTAGGGTTCTCATACTTACCGGGTTACCCCATATTTATTAAGTTAAAACTTACAAATACTATATTTTTTTTTATTTTTTTTTAAATTTTTACAAAATTTTTAACAGAAATAAAAAATTTATTATACTCTTACTAAAAGATTAGTATTATTTACTACTTTTATATTAAGCAAAAATAAGAAATTATAAATATATATTGTAATATAACAAATTAAAAAACAATATCCATGTGTATATAATTGCTTATTAATATTTACAGATTTAATAAGATATAAGAGAAAATAATATAAGCAGAATACTTTTGATATATAAAATATTATTCTGCATTTTAGTTTTTTAATTTCTTTAATTTATTTTATATCTTAGATAGCTAGCTCTATATTAGTAGATTTATCTATTTATAGATATATTCTTATAGATTTTTAGATTATTACTTTTCATTTCTTATAAATTAGTAATTATTTTTATTCTGTATTTGTTTTTAATATAATTCCTTTTATTTTCCACTTACTTTTTTACAGAAAGTGACATCAGATTGACAATACTTTATTGTAAAGCAAGGTTATTGGCTACCATCTAATGAGTCATAAAGAACACATCTCCAATATTTGAGAATTCTGTGCCACTAGTTATACACACTAATTTTTTTAATAATAATTGTGGCAGCTGACGCTGAGATTTTAGTATAGTTTATATAGATCAGCTGCCACGATAATTAATAAATGTACTTTATCTCTTATTAAAAATGATTTACTTCTTATGCAGTTTTCAAATATAGATGCTAATCAATTTGAAGCGCATTATCGTAAAACAAACATAGTAGAATTTACTAAAGAGTTGGCTTTAGGCTTTAAAAGCATGGCAAAAACATTAGGCTTAGATTACGTCATTGATATTCTAAATCTAGATGGATAACAGTTCAATAAAGCTGGTATAAGAAGGAGGATTACCGAAGTGAAAAAAAACTAATAAAAAATTTTTTATTTATAATACATGCATTAATTTTTACAATCACATTAGTTAGAAAATAAACCATAATAATTCTTTGCTCTAATACTAACTTTAGTTTCACATTTGAACATTTGACCAATAACTACTTAAATAATTTAACTTTCAAAAACTAATGCTAAGATAATCCTTTCCTTTACAATCGCTTTAATGAAACTGCTATTAATTATAGATCGTTTTCGTCCACTGGCCCGATTTTCTAGAGATTCTTAAGCAAAAATCTCCAATGAATTGCCAATGGTTTGGCCATGTCAGAAGTTTTAACCACCGCATTCGAGTGAAAAACTTTGTGCTGCTAGTTGTATTAAAAGTTTACTTGGAATATCATGAGCAATGAATTAGCTCTTGATTATGTATAGTTTGCAGGAATTGTATGATTTTCTTTCTGATATTATTTCTAAAAGAAACATAGGACGTAAATACAAAAGGACGTTATGAATGTATTTACAAGCATAATGAACAAAAAAAGCTCTATCTGTTACTTACGCCAAAAAAAAAAAATCAATAATCCAAAATGCCGGTTCCGTTATCCAGAACATCTGGATCTTCTACAATAATTAAATAATTTTAGTGAATATGTTATATTCTGAATAAACTTTTAAATACTGATACAACTCCTACCGGTATCAAAATATTTATCTAGTAATAAACAATTGTAATATATTAATAAGAATTTTTAACACAATGCATCTATTTTACTATGAATTAAAGCTTTCTACCATGGATTTCCTGTTCTTCAACATTAAGATCATCGTATTCTTCATTAAAATCCACTGCGTCGTAATCGAAATCTGGCTATTATAAAAACAGTAGAGTGAATCCCAAAATTAAGCTATATAATTATTACGTGAACAGACAGACTACTAATTCTTACATCGTTTCCAGCGAAAAACCTTTCTCTCATAATATCAACAAGGTCGGCTCTCAACTGTTCCCTTTCCTCATCTGATATTTGTATGCGTTGGTCCACAGACGCTCTTGTGGAATTATTTGGTCCTTCGTCCATATCATTTGTTTCATTAATACTAATGGAACCATTTCTCGGTGAACTATCTATCATCATTGCTGCACTGGATTGATCATTCCCTGTGTTCATATAATTTCCATTTTGCATTGACGGCTTATCGATATCTTTGACTATTTTTGTATCATTGTCACTTCTCAAAGATAATTCCTCAAAATCATCGTCCTCTTCCTCCTCCTCTTCAAACTGTTCGTTCCTAATTCTTCGTTCATGCTCCAGCCTATCGTGTATATAATTCTGATCTATTTATGTTATTGAATCAAGAATTGATGAATAAATTACTATTAAATTTTTCCATTTAAACCAAGTTTCAATTTTTATAAATAGCCCTTTTTGATGGTTAGGGTTAGGGTGAGCGCTAGTAT